CAACTGGTATAAAGTATCATTACCCTATTGGCATCAATGGAGCTGCACTGATCATTAGCTGAAGATCTGACTCAGATCCTGTTCCATGTGTTTGGAGGCTTCTGACTGATTATTGCAAAGCAACTCCAGCTCAGTTAGGTTCAATCTTGTTCCCTCTATAGTATATGGCAACGTTTTTCCCCCTCTCCCCATTTCAGGGCTGAGTCCAAGCTGCCGTCTACACCAGTGCATCTACATGTTTTTTGACTGGTATTAAGATCCATCCCCACTGGTAACCAAGACCCCCTAGCCAGGAACCTCCGGCTTCGGTCCCAGCAGGAGCATTGGCACACCCCAGTCAAAGGGCAGGAGGGTGGCAGGGGCAACCAGCAAAGCCCAGAAGCACTGGAAATACTCATGGAACACTGTAGGCATAGTTATGCCTAGATCTTCCCTGACCAGTGGCTGTCCAACCTCTTCTTGCACATCTCCAGTGATGGAGAGTCCACAACCTTCCTAGGCAGTCTATTCCACTGCCTCACTGTTCTAGCTTGGCTCCACAGATTTGCATTTGCTAAATAAATAACTGTTTTAACAGTGAAGAAGTTTTCTAACAGTGAAAAAGTTTTATAAGGAGTTTTGGTTGATGTATACAGACATTTGTAAAGTGAGACAAAGTTTAATTTCTTTGGTGTTGTTAATTTCTTTTCCATCTTTGAACAAAGACAGAATTCAGGAGAAAGAAATGGCCTGAAAGCAGCCTGCAAAGGAACATCCTGCCAGTCAACAGGAAGCGGCTCTAAGCAGAGGCCAATGGCTACAGAAGCTGATGGCTCTCACAGAGAACAAAGCTAATGTAGAGGCCAAATGAGCAAACAGTGGGGCAGGAATTGGCCTTGATTGCAGGAGAGCAGATATGTGCCGCAGCACAGAGAAAACGGAAGCAAGGGCACTCGATGGAATTTGCCCAATAAATGCTAGTCATTTCTGCCCTGGCGAGAATGAGAACTAACGAGACAAAAACTCCTAAAGCAATGGAGCTGGCCCCCTCAGCCTGCTTTCGAAGGGAAACACAAGAACCAGAAGCACAAGGTAGAGCAGCAATGGAAGTGGAGCTCTTGAAGTTATTCCATTTACTATTCTTGTTCCTTATTCTGGAGCAGCTGGTAATGGTTACTGTGAGAGACAGAACACTTGGCCAGAGGTTCCATCGCTCAGATCTGGTATGGCAATTCTTCTAGCTCACATGAGGTTAATCACCCTCTTATGTGACATGATATATCTGAATAAAGAATTCCCAGATCAAATGAGAAATCACTACAGTGGAATGAACATTTTATGCTTAAACTTTTAAACCCCCCATTTTTCCAAAACATTTTTTCCAGGAAAAGTGTTTTGTTTAAATGTTCTGTTTTTAATCTTTAAGACTTTTATCTCTTTTTGAAAACTAAAAATTTTTGCCACTATCAAAAAATCACAAAAAACATTTTAGATTTTTTCACAGAGGAGACCATTTTCTGAGCAGCTCCAAAAATAACCCCATGGTTATGGCAATTGTTGAGTTTGGGTAAAGGGAGGAAAAAAGCAAGCACAAAGCCAATTTGCACTAAGAACTAGTGACATGAGGCTTCCTGCATTTAAACAAAGGTGTGTAATGCAGACTGCCTGGAACAAATGAGGCTGGGTCTTACACAAAACAAATGCTTCTTTCACATAGTAGTCCATTCTGATCTAAAGATTTAAGGAGTAGGATTAAGCATAAAGCACTATTTTATATATGTATTCCAGGGAAGAGTTCAATGTAGCACACTTGAGCCTGAGGAAAACAGTAACCTACGACTTATTTAAAAGTCTACACCAGTCAAATCTTCCAAAGGAACCCTTTCACTTTCAGATGACAGCTAGGTAAATGTTAGGTGCTAGTAAGAAGGACCTGAAGTGCAGCTAGAAGTAGGGATCTGAGTATAGCAGGTCAGTTTTTAGAATATTATTTACTCTGGTGAGTACTTAGGGTATGATGACATGGCAAAATGAAGATGTGATTGTAGCAGGTACAGCATACTTGTATAACTTATTAGTAGGGATAACAGTACCAATGAAGATGTGCTAGCAACCAGAGGAGAAATGCTCCCGTAACCCTGGGTCTGGAGTTTGGTTGTTACTGGGCACATATATGTGTGACTATTAATGTGATTCAATAAACTCCAGTGTGGTTTGTGCTGGAGTTTATTGCTCCCTGGCAAAGTGTTTAAACATGCACCTGGGACCACAACACATTGAGCTAGGGTGGTCCTGCCCAAGTTGGCAGGGGGCCCTGGGAGTCAGCCTGCCAGCTTGGTGCTGTTCCAACCCAGCTCAATGTGTTGCAGATGGGCTGGCTGAGGCACGAGGGTGCTTCAGTGTGGGGCTAGATATGCCCACTGTGTATTAAAGCCTCTGCTGCCATGTCTTTACTGCAATTGTACCTATACTATTGGATCAAACTCACACAGATAAGCTAGCACCTGATACCATCATAATTTCAGCCCTTTGCTTACTTACAGAATACCAGTGAATCGATCAGTGACTTGTGCTAGTAACTGTTCATCATCTCAGAGTACCTTTTACTGACTGGAAATAAGTCATAAGTCAGAGTAAGAGGTTTTACATTTACCGCTGTATTTGGTTTGGGACATTTCCAGCTATTATTGTTGTGAGTAGTAGCACCACTTTAGCTAAGGTTGAGACTAGTTTTCTTATTAACAACCTTTTTTATCTAATGCCGCTCACTTAATTTTTTTTCAAATTTGCTATGCCTCCTAGGGAAAGCTTCATGGTTCAGAAATCAGAGTGTCTGAGCAAGCGGTTGCCAAGATACAATCCTCACAATAAAATTACCAGACAAAACATGTATGTTTCTAACTTCTTTTGCGTGTGACTGGGACTCAGACTTTGATTCTCCCCACTTGGTCTTGACTATATTTTCTGATTTTAAGAGATTCACGTTTGTATAGCCTTAACTTTATTTCCAGGTTTGTAGAGGTTTAAGTATGGGTCCGTTAGACCAGTGATACGCAACCAGGGTGCCATGGGGGGGAGGGGGGATGGGGGTGCCTTGAGATCCTTTCAAGGGTGCCACAGGGTGTCGTGCAATGTTAGCACTGTCAGGTATGCAAACATTATTCACAAAATAAATCCAGAGCTTTCAAATAGGCATCCATAGAGTTCACACCATTCTGAATGGCTGTGGGCTTTCTGAGTTCCTTGCACCAGAATAATTGCTCTATTATTTTTCTGTAGTAAAAAAAAAAATAAAATTAATAGCTAGCATTTTCTGAAGGGTGCCCTGAGTCTATCAAGGGATGCCTTGAGCCTAAAAAGGTTGAGAACCACTGCATTGGATGTTCAGTACAAAGCCTTGCTGATCAGCCTTAACTCTATAGTAATCAAGTTTTTGCACAGTGTTTAAGAAACAAGAACCCTTGTGATTTTACTGCAAGGAGGGAAGTGCAGCAGAAATTAAATTAGAGGTTATTGATGTTGTGCCTGTATGCTCCAGAGACAACATTAACTGCAATAATGAAACTAAGTATTAATTAGTCAGCTTCACTTCCCCTTCTTCAAGAGGGATGGGAGAGTCAGTGGATCAGAATTTCTTGGTTTTGGATAATGGATTAAACCTTCCATATTACTTCTGGGGATAGCCTGGCAGAAAGGATTCCTTGGGCAGAATCTAGAGAAAATAAATGGATGGTGACCTAGTTGATTTTGTACAAAAAGTATCTGAAGGCCAAGCCAAGCTAGGCCAGGTGTAAGGACACTTGCAAATGTGAAAAAAGCCAGAAAAATGGTGCTTTATGTTAAGCTTGGTGTGCCCTCACACTGAGCCCAGAGCATGCCCAGAAGAGGCATCACATTAGTTTGACCCAGCTCTGCAATATCGGTATAGATTGGGCATTTTAGTGGGAGTTTTTTTTGCGCTTTTATCTAATAGCTGATTGAATCAAGCTTTAGATAAAAGAGTCAAAAAGCCCCGCTGAAGCACCTGATCTATACAGACCCTGTGAAGCCAAGTCAAACTAACACCCTTCTTTTGGTAAACCTGTTGCCCCCAATCTTTAAGTGTTCTTAGTTGCCTTTGTGTTGAGCACTGCTGGGCTTTAGTGCTCTGGGGCCTGGTGGGTTGGGTTGGTTGTTGAGTGACTGCAGGGCAGGGGATGTGTTGGGGTTCATGGGACAGAGGTGGGCTGGGGGCTCAGTGGTTTGGGTGGTCACAGGTCTCCAGCATTTAGGGGATGGTTCAGCTGTAATGGGAAGCGCTGGGCTCATGGGAAGTTGGGGGCTCTACGGGCTGCAGGGCTCCAGGATTGGGGGCTCTAGGGTTGGAGGCTCAAAGGTCACAGGCACCCGGGGTTGGGGGGGTCACGGCTCCTTAGGGTTGGCGCTAGGCTCCCTGGCTAGCAGCTCTGGTCCGGCGCGTCCGGGCTGCGTGCTCAGGCAGCTGCCGGGACTCTTCAGAAACTTTTTCTACGCTCCGCCCCCGGGGCTGGGGCCGCAGGTCCTCGGGGCGGGGCCCAGGCCGCGGCGGGACGCGGCCA